TTTTTTTTATGGCATAAGCCGGTAAACGAGCAGACGGATCACCTGATGGTAAGCAATCGGCGTCGCCCATGGACACCTGGAACACCAGAGGCGTTACAAGTGCGTCACCGACTTTTTGGGGATTAGGAGTTTGAGGATCGTTGGGGATTCAGGGATTGGGGAGATTGGGGAAGGAGAAGGTAATTGGGCCTCCGGTAACCTCACTCACACGACGAAACACAAAGCAAGCGTTGCTTCACGTCGGTTTTCTGTGAGACCGTGGTATCACTTCGGTCGAGCCGGCCCATTCGTGCCGAAGCATGGCTCTCCCACATTTAAACACTTTTCCTATTTTAACTCGTCGAGTACCGGTTTTGTAGACACAATTATAGAACAATAGGTTGCGGTCACCGGTGACCGCTTGGTGTTTGACAGTTTAAACTTTTAACTAGCTCAAGTTAAAGTTTAAAGTATACTTCATTGACAATAATATTATTTAATATTTATGTGATGACAGCACCTGTTTAAGTAAACAACATTTATGGTAAATAGTAGTAGGTATCAAGCAGAGTTAAAAATAAAACAAGTATAAATAATTTATTCTATATGTATTATAGGTATTCAAGGGCTCTACCTATCAGTAAAACTGACAGACTCTTGCCGTCCAAAATCCACCACAAATCATTTTCATTCCACCAAAATCGGCCCAGTCGTTTCAAAAGAAACCACACTTTTGAAACCACAACGGGGTAAATGAATACAGCTAAAAGCTGTATGTATAGGTTTTACGGCAAACTTTTGAAACGCCTGGGCCGATCTTTTGGGTTTGCCGTAAAACGGGGTAAATGGATACAGCTAAAAGCTAACTAAGCTATTCTGTAAGATGTCAATTCGAATTCTCGAAGTGAGTTCGATCGCCTTCTCGCCTGTCATTGGTCGAGATTATTCTTACAATCAATGACATGGCGGACCGCCATGCCATACCCATGGACGTAGTAAAAATAATACCTCCATGGCCATACCTACTAAATCTTATAGAATAGCCTATCAGGAATGGGAAGACGTTAGAACATTTCCGAACATTAATTTCCACGCTCTTCAGTGTTCTGTATTTACCCCGTCTTATCGTTATTACTAAAGTTCTAACCTTTAACTACTTAACCATAAGTTTTATTTTTATCTGTACATTAATCGTTTCATAAATTCTTACAGAGGTTTACTGAATAATTAGTGACTTAAAAGGTAATTAGGTTAGTTGGGTATAGCACTCTGTTTGTTACTAACCTACAATTTACAGTAGGTATTTTAGTGGCATATCTAGGTAAGAAACTAGGAGGGTTACCTATGTAGATACCTACTGAGGTAAAAAAACTACGTTAAAAACTAGACGTTGAAGACTCGGCTCCAGACAAGTACTCCTCATCATCAAATTCTGACTTGGCGAAAATAAGACCTTATCGAGAATATAATCTAATAAAAATAAAATACAAAAACTAATTTGAAAATCTGTAAAGTAATCGGTGAAAAACAAAAAAAAATATTCAAACAACCCCTGACCGGGTCTCTAGGATTTTCTCCTAGGTCGTAAATGCGGAAATCGAACCCGCGATACGTTGCTTGTTACATAGTACTGTAGCAGTCAGTTGCCCAGTCACTGCACCAATCATGCATCTAAATAACATACATTACCTACGTATAACAATAACAAGTACGTAGACTTTTTTTTTTTTAAGGGGGGAAAATCATCGAATGACTGCTCCCGCCTGGGTGAGGCGGGAGGGAGAGTCAGACTCTTACTGACTAAAAACCACCCCGTTCCTTCTCCTGCACGTCGAGTCGGAGCCCCGGTTACCCGTTAGGTTCTCCGCGCCAAGTACGTAGACTTGGGTGCAATGGAACGAAGCCACTCGAGTATTTTCCATTCTTGATTTTAATTCTGTTACAACACGATATTTTATCAATTGGTAAATAGGCCGAAAGGCAATTTAATCGTCTATAATAGAAATACAGATATTGTGATAATGTTAAACGGTTTACTGACCTCTATTCTACCGATCAAGCCTTTACGTTTGATATCCGTAATGGTACCTATCAGTTGTGGAACTAGGATGGACACTGGACAATGAGAAGAAAGGGAATCGAATTGAACAAAATTGGAAAAAATTATGAACGAGTTTTCAGAGTTTTTAAACGAGCTAAACAATTAATATTACACACAAGTAAACAACATAAGTTTTAAGGAACCCTGTGTAACTTTAAAAAAAAAATAGTAGATATTACAACAAACTCCTCATTTTTAAGGTAATCAAATTGCATTCCGTACCGAATACTGAATTATGTGTATCATACAAAAATTTATCAAAATAAGGAAAACAACTCTAGTGGCTCCTGTTCTTTTCTGTCAAGTGTATTAAATAGGTACTTATGTTTAAATTATAAAAATAGTAATTACATGAAAAATAATTTTGCAAGCTATTTAATTATCTTTCTTTATTTTCATACTAGTCATCCTATAGATAATGGTGTCGCGGCCCGGGTCCATGTCCATAAAAGAATACATGATAGCAAGCATAGAAAATGTCATTACCATTCCGAACCACAGAAATATATTAAATACTGCTGGATAGTCGACGTCAAAATCATCAGCAATAGTGCCATTCGCTGGCTGTAAACATAATATCATTGATTATATTGAAAACAATTTATGTGTGGTCTATAAGGTCTATTGCTAACACCGAATATCTTACCTTTGTTGCATTTACACTTGCAGTATCATTTCCAATTCCACTTCCATCGCCACTTCCACTACCACTTCCATCGACAGTTACACCGATACTTCCACCGGTGGTAGTTGTATCTTGTTCAGTTGTTGGAACAACTTCAGTACTCGTCCCACTATCTCCACCACCTTCACGAGTTTTTGGCCTTACGATCGCCCGGCTCATCCATTCATAATCGGCAGTACCAGCTGGTTTTACAAATTTGTAACGATTCTTTTTCTTATCTGAACTTTCATTGGACCAATTATATGACCATTTTCTTTGGGTGACATTCAAGTCTGGTATAGAGACCGATCGAGCTGAGCGACGAGTGTGAGGGACATCAGTGCTAACAGCTGTAACTAATACCGAACCAACATAGGCTTCGACAAATGCCTTGCTGAGTTCTTGAACAGCTTCGCCTATAGTGGAATTAATATATAATTATATTAGTAGGTAGGTAGCAATCAAGTATCCTACTAAATCTTTGATAGCAATTTTAAATGTTTGACTATAAATCATAAGTACCATCCTGCATTTCTATCAATTCGGAACCTGTGAAACTACGTTAAGCCGCTACTACTTTCTTCCTAGTTATTCGATAGATTACAATGACGTCCAGAGTGCCAGACTAACATGTGCCCATTTGTCGACATTTGTGACTATAATTGATAAAAGTGATTGAATCACTTAACTCGTCGAGTACCGTCATTATAGACACAATTATAGAACAATAGGTTGCGGTCACCGGTGACCGCTTGGTGTTTGACAGTTTAAGTTATCGGCCTATAGTACTTATTCCCTATTAACCACCTTCACCCATTCGGTAGGTACACAAAGGTAACTTACTCTGAAAGAATAACATAAAAAATATATGAATACTCTCAATTAGGCCGATTATACACAGCGACACAAACAAGTTGCACACTCATTCATCTACAGCTTGCTACTAAATAAACACCAACTTCTGACCTCCCAAACTAATGCACCCAAAAACATTAAAAGTGGAAATAGAAATTAATAACCAATCTTAAATCTTCACCCAAATCCTTTGGATCGATCTATGTTCTTGACTGAAAGTTCATACAAATTCTGACTAGAAAGACCAGAGTGGTCAAATGACCCCAATGAAGTCTTTGATCAATCATAATAACAAAACCATAACAATGAAGTCAGTGTCGTTTTATGACTTTTAATATTTCGTCATTGTTTACATTATTCTAATATGTGTATATCGATAGCTAGATAAATACAAATTAAAAAATTATCACCTACCTAGAAAGACCGAAGTGGTCATTTGACCAATGTATGCGTGCTTTGTATTATTTCGTTGAATATCCTCTTGTTGTGGGTACTTGAAATAAAATATTTCATTTCTTTATTGTTTTGTTCTTGTCAAAGTAAAGACGTATATATCACGGCTCGCCATAATATAATTATAATGCCTAATTATCGTTCCCTTTCGCCTTCTAATATATTGGAAGTGCTGCAAAATTTACCGGACCACCAATCAGATTGTGAAGCGACTGAAGAAGAGAGGCATATTTTGCATTTAGACTCAAGAAGTGAAGAAAGCGATTACAATATTACACAAAATAGTGATTCTTCCAGCGATGATGACCACACTCATAGCGATTCTGATGGTAGGTGTATATTATTTTATGTATTGATGTAAATAAAATAAGAATTTTCATATTGAGAGAAAAGGCAATCTTTTATTATATTAGCGTTTACTCCACTGTTTCAGATTCAGTACCTCTCTCGACTTTACGTAGTGCAAACCTAAGAAGAGGAAGAGGTCGAGGTCGAGGTCGCGGTCGGAGTCGAGGGCATCGTGGCCGAGGTACCAGAATACATACTGAAATTATTCACCACAACACTGATGTCGAGGTATCTTCTACCGGTATAAGTTGGACTCCTGGAAACTTATCAGTTTTGAATCAGCCTGGTCGTCGTCCACGACAGAATATTCTAACAGAGGAAGCTGGACCAACTTCTTTTGCAAAAAGGTGTTATAAAGGAGGTATTTTATCTGCATGGATTCTAAGTTCACTTCACTCTAATGTATTTGTTGATCCAGAAGAAGCAAAAAAGAAACCGAACACGGTGAAGTTTTACAATGCTACGAAATTTGGAGTAGACGTTATTGATCAAATGGCCAAAAAATATAGTGTCAAAGCACCTTCTCGTCGTTGGCCCGTGCAAGTGTTTTATAATATTTTGGATTTGGCAGCAATTAATTCTTGGATCTTGTACAAAAAACTATCCCAGAAAAAAATCAGTAGAAAAAAGTACATTCTTGACTTGGCAAGGGAGTTAGTCCGCCAAGATACCCACTCCCTGATAACACCATCTACTTTACAGCCTGATAATAGCATACCCCCAGAGCCTCTAGAAGAACGTAGTGGAAAGAGGAAACGGTGTTACGTACAAAAATGCAAAAACAAAACCAATAAATCTTGTGTTAGTTGTCTGCTCTTGAAAAAGCCTTTGTGTGGCTCTTGTAATGTAAACAAGGAGCTAAAATGTCAAAAATGTGCCTAATTTTTTTATTTTTTTATCAATAAATAGATGTTTAATTACTATTAAGTTATTTTATTCATTATTGGATGCTAATCAATAAAACTTAAAATCATAATACACGAATAAAACATTACAACCCATGAAGGTGTCATTTGACCCCACTTGGTCTTTATAGGTAGTTCGAAATTCCGGTCTTTCTAGTGTTAAAGATTGATATTAATTATTATTAATCCAAAGATTCTGGCTATTGATTATTAATTTCGCCCACAATATTATTATAACCATGCACAAAGCTGTAAACTTTGACACATATATTATATCTTGCGAAAGTTTTTACAAGATGCCGCTGTATACGTACCTTCTTCTAGCTTCTTCATATAACCGACATTATACAAATTTCGAGTAAAAGGAAATACTTACAGAGGCACTGATGCTATATCTACCAACTTTTTGGTAGATCTATCACTTTTCGCTTCAGTCTACCTATCTACCACCATAGACCTAATTTTTTTAATCTACCTATTTTTTAATTTTCACATATCACCACAATGTCGCGTCTATAAACCGACATTAATTAATATTTGTTTTGTCTTGGTTGTGGTAAATAGACTTGAGGGGCTACCGGCTAACTAATATGAACATCGGGATGGGCTTCATTTGATATAAAATGTATGGCCCAATTGCCCAAACGTCAAATGAAGCCCATACCGATGTCCTTATTAGTTAGCCGGTAGCCAGGGTGGCTACCGGCTAACTAATATAGTAATCTCTTCTTGATTTGTTAGAAAATTACTCGCACTTTTACATAGTAGCGCCAATGTGGAACGATTGTTTTCTGCAATTAACATTATGAAAACCTCGCAAAGAAATAGAATTTGCACAGAGACTCTAGAGGGATTGTTACATACAAAGAGATTTTTATCGAAAAATGGGCAGCCTAGTGCAGAACATTTAAAATTATTTAATAAAAATAAGTAAAATTAAAAAAATAAATATTTTACGAACAAATCATGTATTTTTAATCTTAATTTTTTTTCTAAGTTAAGGTGGTAGATCTACCAATTTTGCATTTTACATTCTACCAACTTCTACCAACATTTGGCACAACATCTACCAATTTTATAAAATTTGGGTTGGCAACACTGTACAGAGGTATTAATAGGTACCTACCTAATAATTTCTTAGCTTCTGTAGTTTCTTTAGAATTGGGACCATGATAGTCAGATACACCATGAAGACTGCGAATACGAAAATTGAAGAAATCAATTTGGTTGTCTGGGACAATACCCCCATCTTGGATCTGTCGATTAAATGCTAAGTCAATTTCTAGGTAAAATCGTATCTTAATGTAGATCGTAGATTATTTTTTTTAATGTAGGGACGTGAGTACACCTACTAACTATTGTAGGATTTTTATGGGGTTCAACAGACGAATCACCTGATGGTAAGACCGTAGGCGCAGCCCGCAGCACCATGTTATTTGTTACAAAAGTGCGTTGCCAGCTTTTTAGGGATTTGAAGATTGGGATTGATCTTTCTGTCTTCTAGAAGTGACCTTCCTCAGACAGTCTGTTCAGCCTGTACAAGTGTACACCGTGTATGTCACCTACCTACGGCACTTAAGTAAGTGCCGTATGCCGTACTTACTCATATATTACATCGTAAAAGTGTAATGAATTAGGGTAACATACCAGATGCCTACAAAAATGATTAAATTTACCCATTGAATAACAGCTCGTAAAATCTGAAGCTCGTTTATAAAGAGGTAATCTTCTTCCACGTTATACTTTAAGTGGTGAAGTACTTCTTTGGTGGGTTTTTTATTTTTTATAAAATTACCAAGTAACTTCCTGAACTGAAAATTGAATATTAAATTAAGTAGGTACAACATCGGACATCGTAACGGGGTAGTTCAGGAAAGATTATTATTATTTGCGTAGATATTTCCATTTCCTTACCTCGTTTCCATTACTTAATTTAACACTCGCTATTTTATTGCCTCCTTCCGTAAAATGCTGCTTTATTCTTTCTTTTACTGATTTGTAGGTATCTGGTTCATACTCGTCTACACTAAGTTTGTAGGTATTCAAAGCAATCTGTAAATTGGTTAAAATAGGCTGTAATTTTTTTAGACAAGAAAGGTAGTGGGTTTCATCTATTTCTATTAAGGTAGGTATTCTGTAAGAAGTCAATTCGAACTTTCGAAGTGAGCTCGATCACATTATCGCCTGTCATTTGTTGAGAGTTGAGATTATTTTCACAACTAATGGCGAACCGCGATCGAGCTGTATGATAGTATAAGATAAGATTTTAATCGATTCTGGGGATTTGCTTTAAATATTTTTGGGCATTCTCTTTTCCTAATCAAAAATAGCACACATCGTAATAATTACTTATCAAACAAAATGAGGGATTGAGGATTGCCTCAAATAAATGTGGCCGGAGTCTGTATGTGATCATGATGAAAAGGACACTACGCCTCTACTCCAAAATCGCCCACCCCATCTCATGTAACGTAGGTAATTTAAATAAACTAAATACTTATCTAGATATACGTTTAAATGTTGCTTAATGCCAAGAAAAGTCGCGTAGAGCATTTCTTATTCTGTGGTAATGCTTTGTGCCGGTAACCCCATGCCGTTAATATTTAGGCAGTCGCAAGCAAGATACTTTTTCTATTCTAAGTAGAGCCAATAAGGTATAGTTTTTAATTAAATTTTTTTTTTGATTTGCTTACATGTTCACCAATGCTTCTTATACCATCAATATATACTTCCACGGCTGCTTCAGGAGTATTGAAAGGATCCACGACAATTAATCCTTTCCATTCCGAACTCTAAAAATATGGGTGAGTTAAATTCACTTGAAATTAGTTGAGTTTTAAAAGTTTTACCACCCTCATAGGTGCCCGATAAACTTATGTGGCAGACAGTTGGATATTTCATAAAAATTGCGTTCTGTAAGATAGTACCTACATATTATAGCAAGACCATAATCATCACCATCACCTGATCGCTTACCATCAAGTGATCCGTCTGCTCGTTTGCCTCCTATTCTATAAAAAAAAAGAAAAAAAACCAACTATATAGTGCGTAGCGCTGCATCGTCTCGTCGTAGCGTCGTTTTCCATATAAAATTATATTTTTTGCTAACTTCTGCCAACGACTTCGCCAACTTCCCGTGGGATAAAAGTGTTAATTCAGACCTCTACCCCTGTTCCAAACACCCCGAACTCTCCGATGGAGTAACAAACAATAAACAAAAATACAAACTTTAATTTTTATGCATATGCATTTTAAATGAATATAATATTAGTACAATGACATGCCCCACACCGTTGTTTCGTCGTTTGAACGGAACGTCGGACAAGAGAGGAAGTGTGAGGGAGGGTGCAGGGTGATACGCTGCGTCGTCGCAACCCTGGCGAGGCGTACAAGTGTTGTTGTTTTTTAAGATTGTTGGGTATTCAGGGTTTGGAGAAATTGGGAATGGGGGGAGTGTAATTGGGCTTCCGGTAACCTCATTGACGAGACGAAATACAACGCAAACGTTGTTTGCTTCACATCAGTCTTCTGTGAGGCCGTGGTATCCTTCTGGTCGAACCGGCTCAGTTGTGCCGAAGCGTGGCTCTTCCACACTTAAGCCGCACTAATGGGGCTTCGCCCTTATTGGCTATTGAGACATTGTGAAACAAACCACTTATTTTTATTAAACATGCTGCTGATGGCCATGTGGGAGCCCAGAGAACTAGCAAGGTAAAAGTGACCAGGAATGAGGAGGTCAGGAATGTAGACAACGTCTAGGCAAACACAAATGTAGTGTAGAGGGTCTTCGTGGTTTGACGATGACCGCAAGGTAGCTGGTAAAGATTGATAAAAAGAGCTAAAGATCCCGCTCAGCTCAGTAGCGTGCTATTAGAGAGGGGTACGTCGAGCAGTGGACGTCAATAGGTTGATGTTGATTACTGAAATATAATAACTTTAATAGGTAGGTAAGTTTGTAGTTTAACTGCATCTATACTCGGAATTTTAATTCGATTCCAGATTTGACAATTTCAGTGTTGCGACGTTATGACAAGTACTAAATAGTGACGTTGCGAAATTATTCGATATGGAAATGCAATATTTCTGGATCGATTCTTCTCGTTTATAATTTTACTCTCGTAAACTAAGTATATCAGGAAATTAAATATTTCTGAACCGATAATTTAGTTTTGACGATTAATTAACGATCTGAGACTTTTCTTTTATAATTGTGTGTGAAATAAATAAAAAAATGTAATCATGAAGGAACATGACAAATAAAACAGATAGATGTATTATGGTAATAAGTTATTTTATAAATTGTCGCCGTCATCGCTATCGCTATCCTGTCACTTTCTTTCATTATCTCACCAGAAGTAAATGTAAAGAAAGCGTCAGCGACTGGCTAAATAAACTAGACTATGAGGAGACTGAAAAAATTCTGAGACCACTTTCCTAAGCTACAACTGATGCAGAATTATCAATCACTACATTCATATCAACACTTCCACCTCATTCACTTACCTACACATACCCACACATAATACACATCAACTCACTCACTTACATACACATTTACACGCACTCACACTACATTGTTACACACCCACAGTCACACACACACACACACACACACTCATACAATGTTGTCCTTTTTCTTTAATTAAGTAAATACTTTATATTGTTCAATGTCTCCGGGGGTCACCCGGGCCTGGTGATCTGTAACACAGGTTATACCTTTAACAGACACCAGTCTCTCTTTATTGTAACATATTATATAATTTGTATCCTTAGAGTATTTTGAGAAAATAAAGATTTTTTATTATTATTATTATATTATTATATTCTGTAACATTTATTATAAAACACACACGCTGATTGTTTATCGATTTTTGTGTTCATCACTACACTATTATATGTGGTATCATTATTTCACAAAATGACAGTAGCTATTGTCAAATCTGGAATCTAATTAAAATTCTGACTATAGTTACAATACTTACATGTTCCACAGAGAGCCCGAGTGCTGCAGAAAATATCTCTTTTAAATTACTCTCCGAAGTTTTATCAGTTGCCATAAAACGTAAAGAATCTGGAGAATATAAAATACTGAACTCACCGGCCGCTTTTAAGCCTAAGAATCAATAAATATAAGTAATTGAGTACTTAGTTATTATCCCATACTACAAGCATACCAAATAAAACATTAAGTACTTACCGATTATTTTTAAAACAAGAGTTATTAAAAATAGTGTCTTGTTTGTGCTGTTTACACCCATGTTTTTTAAAGTAATATCCCTGGTTTTTATAATAATATCCTATGGTTTTAAATCCTTTTGCTTTACCTATTATTTATTTTACGTCCAACGTCAATTCAATGAAATTGTTACCTACGATTCCATATTTAAAATTACCTACTATTACTGTACTTTTCATGCAAAACTCATTAGTTCCTTATACTTATTATAGGTACTCTTTGCTCATTAGGCAACAATGAAACAAGAAGCTTCCCTGTGCTTATTAAACTCTTTGACGTTTCCCTTGGTTTCCTAACGTCTAAACAGAAACTTCATAAAAAAATAAAGTACCTATTAAAAAAATTGAGGGTTCGCCTAATAATGTGGCCGGAGACTGTAAATAACATAACATACAAAAAAAATCCAATAAAATCTGAATAATAATTCAATGTCAAAACTATACAACCCTGTAGCTGTTGAAATAGCATTCAGAGTACGGAATATAAAGCCACACTCAATACCATTTAGTTCATTCAATATCCACGCAATACGGATACAATGGGCGCTAGTGTTGCGATTCAAGACTATGATTCAAGAGTACGAAATTTCACAATGTCGATGTCAATCGATCGGAATTGGATTCAAGAGTAAGCCCCCTCTGGTGGCGGCTCGTAAACACGAACCTAAAACCCGGAAAAACATAAATTATAATTTTCGTGGATGCAAATTTATGCGATGGAAAGCACAGAGAGTTAGTTTGGGCACTCTTGTTCTAATACTACTACTAACTTAACTTATAGAGTATTTAGGTTAAATACTCTAAGACTACGAAAGACGATTTCAACAATATTTCTCTTTTTTACGCGATTGTGTGCCACAATCCTGAGTATGGTAAGGCATAAAAGTAAAAAGTATTGTGTGTTGTATTATTAATAGACCCATGCCATAGACACGAACTTTGCGTACAGTTACTTTGTAGCCATGGTCACTCGGCACACACCGCGACACCAAAGTTGTCTGTGACTTTTGATTATTCACTCTTATATTCACTTTGTACTTGTACACACGGCTACACATCGAGCTTTACATAACCAGTATAAACTGAACGTTAAATGTGCGGAAAGATGATGCGACGCGATACCAGGATAAACTGGTTTTGTATAGGTTGATGTGTGGCCGTGTGTACCTCCATGACCTCCATTCTCTATAATTATAAATTCAGATAAGACTAGCTTTTGCCTGCGACTTCGTCCGCGTGGAATAGTGACTTCCGGCAGAAAAGTATAGATAGCTGTGCCCGCGACTCCGTCAGCGTGTAACTCTTGTGTATTAAGTTAATGAATGGAGTAACTTCTCCCGTTTTCCCAATATTTCCCTTCACTGCTCTGCTCCTATTGATCGTAGCATAATGAAAAGTATACTATAACCTGCCCAAGAGTATAAAGAATAATTGTGCCAAATTTCGTTAAAATCCGTCGAGTAGTTTTTGTTTCCATAACGAACATACAGACAGACAGACAAAAATTTTTCTGATTGCATTTTTGGCATCAGTAGCGATCCCTAACCACCCCTTGATAGTTATTTTTTAAATATATTTTATGTACAGAATTGACCTCTCTACAGATTTATTATAAGTATAGATTTTTGTTTTCGTGATGTGTACTCGTGAACTAAACGCAGTGATGATGATTTGCTAGTCTGTGGTTTGTGGTCTGTCAACTGTGATTTGACAATTGACATTACTACTATTAGGTACCTACTTTAATACTAATAGGTGAAATTTGTGATTGACAATGGATTGACAATTTGAATTTTTGAATTATTTTCCTCTGTACTTACTCTTTGATCTTACATATTATTTTTTAATTACGTGACAGCTCGCTGTGCGATTGCGGTCTTGATAAGGGTACCCTATATATTTTTTACTTGCCCACCATATAGCACCATAGTTTTCACCACTCTCATCATTCCTTGGTCTATTTAACTGACGTGAACAACCTATTAGTCTTGAATCTTAAACGAATATTCGATAAGCAAATCATGTCTAACACGATTGTTCAGTATATTTTGCTCCGTACCGACTTGCTGAAGGAGTTGGGATGGTCAATAGGATCAGTGGTGGCGCAGGCTTGCCATGCATCTACTGCTGTACTTCACTTGTACAAGGACGATGAGACAACAATAAAGTACTTAGATGATATGGATAATATGCACAAAGTTGTGTTAGAGGTAAGTAATTGTGTGACTGACTACTATCACCACTAGATTGTTTTAGATGTTACACAGGGTATGAGCTTATTTTATAGTAGTAATCAAAGTGAGACCATGTTTTGCGCTCTGACTGGATGGTTTATTCACTCCGGCTAATTAGAGTGTCAAATGTACTTGTTTAAATTACTTTAATGTATAAGTTGTACTAAACCCTCCAGACATTGGTATATCTAACAAACACTTCTGAGTTTGTTCTTTAGCTTTAACTTTTTTTTATATTTGATGGGTCAACTTGAAATAATATCTTAGCCCGTTGAAATCCACCCCCTAAATTTGGTCATACAAAAGTAGTCTCTAAACATTACAAATAAGGTCTATAATGTAATGTAATATTAGTGGAAAGCGGTCACCGGTGACCGCTTGGTAATTTATGGGTTAATAATAGGATGACTTACTATCAATGGTAGTGTAAGATTTGAGCAGTAAGTATCCTTAGCGATTTTGCATCATCTCAGGCCGGTGATGATAGTTTTAAAACTAGTTTCAAGTTACCTCTAAGATTACTGTGGTATCTACAATTTCCTTATTTAATTTTTCAGGTGCCAAATCAAGAATCATTACTAAAAGTATCAGAAAAATTAAAAGAAAACTTTGTCTCGCATAAACTATGGATAGAACAACCTGAAAACATACCAACATGTATAGCTTTGAAGCCATACCCTAAAGATGAAGTAAAAAAGTTTGTAGGCAAATACAAGTTATTGAAACTCCAAATGAACGGAGAATAATGCATTTATTGGTGTAAGTATACAAAAATTTTATTGAATAAATAAATATTTATTGATTAACATTTTGTTTTGACTAGCTCTATTCTTGAATGAAATGTGTTATTGAATAGTGGTAGGCTTAGACTCAGATATGCAAATAAGATATCTATTTTTTCATAAGTAAAATGCCTTTTACCAAATTCCTGCCCTATTGTCATTTGAATTGTTGATGTAGTAAACAAAGCTGTTAGATAAAATACTCATGCTTAGCGAGACCTCAGGGATAGTAATGCTATAGATTAAAACCTTAGATGAAGCACTCAACAGTAAAAAAATAAATATAGTTGAGTAATTAATTATTATGTTTTCGTTAGCTTACTCACGTACCTGTTTGACCAGTAGCAACGCGGCGACTGTCGCGTTGCTGCTCATGAATATGAGCCTCTAGCATGGCTTGAAACTAATTGAGTTCTTTGTTAACAGTTACTTTGTAGGCCGAAAACATAATAATTTAATTAAGGTAATTCACGTAAGTTATAATATACCTATACATAGCTAGGTAGGTAATCTCATATTTTTGTAAATTCTAACTCGACTATAACAATTAATTTCGTACTTTCCTAATACACTATTTCATACCTCGTGTGTTCATAAGTTTTGAGACAAATTAAAAGTTGCATATCTTTTTAAATAATAAACTTATATTTATAAAAACAATAACAAACATTAAGTAGATAGTAAGTAAAAATTTAATATAATTATTATTCAAAATGACCACCCCTGTTTTTAATACATGCCCTTAGACGATTTGGCCAGTCATCAATGGCGGTACGAATCTTTTCCAGAGGAATTCGCTTCGCTTCTCGGACAAGAGCTCGCTTAAGTGACTCCAAGTTTGGGTGGGACTTTCGGCAGGCTCTGAGCTCTAATTCGGTCCATAGAGAATAATCCAGCGGGTTGAGGTCGGGGCTGGAGGAGGGCCATTCGTTCGCCGCAATGAAGGCCGGCACATTTTCCTTCAGCCAAGCTTGGGTGGTTTTAGCCTTAAGGGATGGCGCCGAGTCTTGCTGGAAAACCCAATACTTGTTATGGAATAGGGTATTAGACAGGGGTTTCACAACAGTCTCTAGAATGTCACTTTGATAATTTTTGGCTTTCACCTTGACGCCTTGTTGGCAGAAATGAAGCTGAGTGACACCTTCGTACGAAACTCCCCACCATACCATGACACTAGCCGGATGATGAGTACGCGAGACATTCCGTGCTGAAGGTGGGACATCCTTGCTACTTTTGGCATACACTTTATTGTTTTGTCGATTGAACTTTTCTTCGACGGTAAAGATTTTCTCGTCGGTGAAGAGTATCTTCCTCGCATCGTGTCTCCTAAGCAGTATTGGACAACGTTCGCGTCGCAATTGACGAAGGCGATCGTTTAAAAAGTGTACTTTTCTACGGCTATACGCCTTAACCTTGAGATCATATTTCAATATTCTGTTGACTGAAACGCGCGAAATATTGGTCTGCAGAGCGAGTTTCTTCTGAGTGCGACATGGATTTCGGCGAAGTCGCTCTCGGATGATTTTAATGTTCGCAGGCGTCCTCACAGAGCGTGGACGACCACTTCTTTGCCGATCATGTAAAGAACTTGTCTCCTGGTATCGTTTAATAGTGTAATACACGAAGTTATGGCTCACACCAAAACTTTTCAGTTCTCGGAAAATGTCCATAGGTTTTCTTCCCACCTTAAATAATGAAATGACGGTCGCACGTAATTCTTTTGTTCCCTCCATTACGATAAAAATTTAAATAAAATAATCCGAAATCATAGATATTAAAAGTTAACATTCCAAATTCAAAATTAGAAAAAGAAATATACAGCAGCCAGTAATTTTTATTTTATTTCTATAAGCAAAAAGTTTGTCTCAAAACTTATGAACACACGAGGTATAAAGAAGACACTACTGACTTATGTGGATTCAATACAAGAACACCTAATAATTCTGCAACATTGTAACTTCTCTTACTTACAAACGGGCACGAGTGTCGGGCGGCGCTGATTGCTTACCATCAGGCGATAAGTCTGTTCG